AGCCACATTGGGCACATGATGTCACCCTGTTCGAGGGTGAAATCCTGTCCACGTCAATATGCATCCTTATAAAATAAATATACACATCATAAATATTGTCCAAACTACAAAAAGTGATCACATTTGTCCATTTAAAAAACAGCACAAGTGAACTAATACCATTTTTCTGTGCCAGGATCGTGACTCCAGTGGAAGGCCGTGGGGGGACTATAATCTGAAAGTTTACTAATGCAGCTGAAGTTCATGGACGCTTCAGTCACTCGGGAACCACTTCTGTCCAAAGTGACTTTACTGTAGCAGATGCCAAAAGTTGCAAGAACAACAGCTGCAGCAAAGTCAGTAAGAACATTGCAAAGCATAAAGCTGAAGATGGTTTAGTGATTTGCTCAGGGTAACACACAGTGATTTAGAAGTACATCCCAAAAATAACCCACTTTTCTTAACCACACCTTTTCCTAGAACACCTTGACTTTTTAATGAGCTGCAAGTAAAATATTCTTCTGTAAATTAGCACACTGACTGGTGGCTAGATTAGCAGTGACTTCTCTTTTGTAGACAAATGGCTTTTGTTAGCCTTCATCTGCAGTGACAATGTTCCATTAGCATTCTAGGGTGAATCAGCGTGAAAAACACTATCTGGCGCATGACACTGACCAACGTCAAGCAGCAAGCGGGACACCTGTGAGTCTTGCACAAAAAGCGTGGATGAAGACATCCAGCTTAAGCATCTTTCACATCTTGGGGCAGATCCATCTGTTCTGCTTTTAAATGTCAATTAAAATGTTTATACAGCCAAATACAGCCGACACTGTTGACCAATTTCACCACTGGCTAAACATGAAATGAGATTTTTGAATAGGAGACTTATTCTGCATATATTTTCTACAAACATGTTGTGCTAGTCGAAAATGCTTCTGTGCTTTAATCCAAGTGTAACCCATTCTAGTGAAATACTCTGAATTGTGCCTGGTAGATTCTGTGCTTTTCCTTTCTCTCTCCTGAAAGAGGTTAAACAGTAAACACAATAAAAAAAAAAACAAAGTCATTCTTCCTGGGTTGTATCCTGCTATGCAGATGATGGAGGTCTAGAGTCTCTCCAGATGCGTGATTAGCACAGACAGCAGCTGGCTTGCTAGCTATAGCTCTGGCGCCCTCTGTGGAGCAGTCTAGGGGTTCGCGCTGCTTTTTGGCTTTTCCAAACTGCCACACAAGAGCCAAGCAGACATCCTGACGATCTGCCCAGGACATCCTCCACTCCTGTGCTGCTGGAATGCGAGACGTCTGTGGTCGCTAATCACGCCTCGCTTTAAACCTCTTCCTCTTCCTAAACCTTGGGTGTTGCAACAGCACCGCGCTCCACCCACCCAATGGTCAACTGAAGCACACAGCCATTTGCAAACACATGCAAAAAAACATGTTGCATTTCACCAAATTCTCACTGGATGTTTTTGCTGCTGCTGCGATTCCTTGCATGGTCATCTGCTGAGGATTTCAATTTCAAGACCTCATCCGATCTCTAATTCATCAAGTTCCTCCACTAGTAATGGACTAGAAACCACATCCTTAAACATCTGCATTGGCTCAAGATTTCTTTTCACAACCAGTTTCAGTTGCATTTGCTGGAAATTAAAACAAGGTTTGGCTTCATCTTTTCCTTGTGTGTGGGTAGTGTTTAGGCCTCTGTTTCAATGAACTGCTTGCTATGGATACAGGGTTTGTGACCAGTCCCAGGAGGAGTGCATCTTGGTGGAAGCAGAACTTCTTACATGCACTGTATCACATTCCAGATCTTCGGAAATATCTCCCAAATTACATCCAAATCAGCATCATGAACAAGAGGCGCAGTTACTGGTCACCAAGTAGTTTTAACTCATTTAGATGAGACACAGATACTTGGTATGAAAAAGCCTTGTTTTCTTTCTCAATTCCTTTATTTCCATGTAGAAAATGAAATGGTGACATAAGAGCCTAGAACTTGTCCCATTGGCACAGCTCCTGATGCCTTCATCAGTTGAGATACAACAAATTTAGGAATATTAGAGAACAGACACAATCCAATTATAAAAAGGTCATCAGCCCCAGACTCGCATCTGGGCATCCCTGCAAGGTGCCAACAAATCCGTTTCAACGCTAAAGCACAGCGAAACGCACTGTTTTAACATCTAAAGGCTGTAAACTGCTGTGAAGTATAAATCGCTCTTAGAGGACCCAAAGCTTCACCGTTCTATGCTGACGGGAAGGAATCAATGAAACTTGTGTTGCTTTAGTGTCAGAATTTGTAAAAAGCTTTCAGAACTCCTCAGGGACGGGCATTAGAAAGCGGTATATAGTGAGAGATTAAATTGGAAGTTTTAAAAGCATTTGATTAAGGACTTAAAGCAAAGAGAGGAATAAAAGTTAAAGCATTAAAAAGACCAATGGGTACAAAGATCACTTTATGACAAAGCTCGGGGGGAAAGCCATTATGTGAAGGCCTTGAAATCTTCCAAACCCACCCTTTAATGATGGACAGAATGTACCTCGTTACAGTGGGTGTAGACTGTGAAACGAATTCAATTATAATCCGTTTTAAGTGAAACACGACAGGCAGCTATGGGACACAACAGACCTTTAGCTCTGGGCGTGCACTATCATTTCGTGCTAGGTCCTGTCTTTGCAAATTGAACGGTGAACACGAAATTTCCACACCGGGACTCGGTCCAAGAGCACCATCACTCACCCAACAGGAGGGAAGCAAAACTTACTTTCGCTCGTCACCTCCGCGTTGTCTGGCTCCTCGCCGCCCAGCAGTCCGCAGTTGGCTTCGTCCCAGGTCAGGATGAGCGGTACGTCGTCATCTGCGTTGCTGGCCATCCTCCGAAAAGGCCTGTCCGGGGCAGGGCGACCCTCGCTCGCTGTCTGTCCCACAATCAAGCCACCCTACCAAGTGGGTTTCTCGTTTGGCTTATCCAAAACTTCTCCAGCTCCTTTTGCATAATCAATGCCAATCGTCTCGGAGTGGTAAACTGCAACGCAAAACCAAGAGCCAGCAGTTCACCTGCTACATCCACCAAACTGAAGAGACTGAAGAGTCTAGCTTCAGTTTGTTGACAGGTTTAGTTTTAAAAACCCAGTGCGTTTTATTGTGCCAACGCCGCTACAGGACACTAAAATAAAAGCAAATATCGGATCGTATTTCAAGCGCTATAAATCATCTCTTTTTACTAAAAGAAATCTAGTCCAGATTGTATTTCATGTACCGACCATCGGAGTCATCAATGTTTCTAACGTGTACATGCATTTAAACGACTTAACATGATTCAGATAAAAATTCAGTAACAAAACTATCCGATTTTGTGACGTTATAGCGCTAAACAGAGCTCCTCCGACAGCTTCTTTAGGTTTAATTTCTTGAGTTAAGATATCAGAGAGAAAAACGGTCTCAACTTCTGTCTGTTGTTGATAATAACAACACGACGATTTATTCTGAACTAGTGAAGAGCTGTCATGTTTTGAGTTAAGCTAGCTTCCACTAACCCCAACGTGCATATCTTCCAAAACGGAAAAAAAATAAAAGCAGGCTTTTAGGTAACCTTCGCGGAACCAAAAAAACATACCAATCCTTTAAAAAACATCGCGCAAAAACATTCTTGTTACATTTTGTAACCAGACCCTGCACAGCATTAAAGAGCCTGAAGACAACCAGCGCACAGGCCCGCCTCTGCTGCGATGCTATTGGCTGGTGTCTGTTCGCTGAAGTCCGGTTCTGCCCTGTGAGTGGAGAACCAACCTGTCAATCAGAAGCGCCTCGACTCGTACGTGGGGATGAGAAAATGGCACGTGACGCGCACATCTCTGACTCGTTTTTTTTACAATTGTCTTTACGTCGCGTATAAGAAAATAAGGTCTTTAGCTCTCAGTTAAGCCGTTCTGGAAGTCACATGCATTAAGCATAGCTTGCGTCTAAAGTTTAAATGCCGAAGCAACGTCGTCTGGTATAATTCATTATAAAGCAGTTAGAAATGTATATAAAAACTGCGCTTTAACACTAGGGTCAATGTTTTTTTTTTTGGAAAGGCCGTGAGAAACTAAAACCATTCAAACTACATTCCCAATAACGTACAGGGATTGCTTCCGGTCACGATGCTGCAGTTCAAGCGCTGATTGGCTGTCAAAGCGCCGCCTGCATTGCGGTTTCCTAGCAACGCAGATAAACTGCAAGCAGAAACAAGTTCCCATTGAGGTAGGTGAGATATAGCACCAGTCTATTTTTTAATTATGCATACATTTATTAAGAAACATGTGTTTGTGTTATGTGTTTGGTCCGTTATTCGTAGCTGTATTCTATGTTGCACTGGACTTTTTAAAATAAAACTTCATGGTCTAAAAAAGGAAAATAATATATTACAGTTCATTGTGTTCATTGTGTATTTAGCTATTAACAGTAAAACTGCAAAGTTAATTAGAGGCGTCAGTGTAATATTATTAAAAATCATGTAATCTCCTAAACACGTTTTCTCTGCTGAACTGTAAATAACTTTCAGTTAAGTTCTCAGGAAGTTCTCAGGAAGAAAAACGTGAAGAAAAACTGCTCCTCCTGATTCCTTCACGTGTCGTTCTGTCTCCAGGTGACCCCAGGACCTTGTGCTGTAGCTGAGCGGTGTCTGCTGAGGAGCAGAGGAGCCTGGAGACCGACGGCTCATGGCCATGGAAGTGGCTGTGCTGCCGGTGGGGGGCGGCTGCCGACAGGCCGCCAGTCCCAGCCCTCAGCCCCGCGCGAGCGCCGCCAGGGAGTCTCTCAAGATCCTGGACCCGGCCCGCAAGAAGCTGAGCTCCCTGGAGACGCAGCGGGTCGCGGGCGTTCTGGACGAGTGCATCGCGAAGGTGGAGCTGGTGGCCCTGCTGCCCACGGTCCTGTCCGGCCTGGAGCGGCTGTCGGTGGGGCTGGGGGCCGAACTCGCGGGGGCCCTGCGGGAGCACCAGCGGCTGGGGCAGATGCTGGCCGCCCTGCGGGAGAGGAGCCAGCGTCAGGGGCCGGGGGGCGAGAACGAAGACCCCCGGCTCCCGGGCCTGGAGCAGGCTCTCCGCAGCTCCCTCCGCAGCGTCCTGAGGCACCTGCGGGCACACCCCAGTGCCACCCACAATCTGAGAGGGCAGGCGGGCGCGGGCGGGGGGGCTCCGGGACTGGCGTGGGGTTTGGCATGGGGGCTGACGGAGCTGCGCAGCCTGCTCTTTGAGAAGCTCCTGACCGGCCCCGCGGAGGAGCGAGAGAGGAGCCGGTACATCCAGGAGGTGTCTCTCCGGCACCAGAACAACGTGGGGCTCATCTCCACCCTTGAGAGGGAGGTGGCTGCGGCCGCCCGGGACAGGGATGCTGAGGTAGGCAAGGGGCCCGTTATGCGTTAGGAGATTGACAGTCCAGGTGCTGTCCCTACGGCCTTTTAAGAGCATAACCAGAATGCAGGGCTGCATTGACTTATTTCAAGTCCAAAGTGTTCCTCATGGCGGTGTTAACTCCCATGGAGTTGGAAAGACAGAAATGATGTGCCGTGATGGCAGCCTCTGTATCTAGCCTGCACACATATATTGTACATATGTTCATATATACAGTGTTCTGTCCAGACACTCAGTGTGCATAAGTGTTCATAGATAGATAGATACTTTATTGATACTTTATTCATACCGCCAACCCAAGCCTGGAAGGGCTGGTATTTTCAGTTTCCTGTGGTCAGTGTGGTGTGGAAATTCTGTGCTGTGTTTGTTATGGTGCTGTGAAGATTTCCCCAGAGAACGTTTCCAGTCGCGACACCAGCCACCCTGTCTCCTTGCTTAGATTTCCAAGAAGAATGAGGTCATCCGCAAGCTGAAGGGCTCCCTCCACCAGATGGAGAAGATCTCGGAGGACTTCCTGAAGCGAACCCGGCAGGAAGCGGACAAGCAGACGCAGTCCGACCACAAGGCCTCGGAGAGCCGCTGCGGGCGCATGCAGCAGGAGATGGGGCAGCTGCGCGGGCGGCTCTGCGGCCTGATAGCCGAGAACCGCGAGAGCGAGCTGGCGCTGAGGAAGGTGCGTTTCTTTTCAGTTCCAGGGACCTGAGCCCATCCTCCAGTTTGAACCGAATTACAGTACTAATACAAAAATAATCTCAATTGCCTGCGGCTTCATTTCATGCCAGATTTCAGTCAGTATATTTAGTTATTTTGTTATTTCTGCTTAGAATGTTTGCCAAGTAGAGATTTTTTGAGGCTTGGAAGATCTTTTGAGAGCAACACGGTGGTGCAGTAGCAGCGAAGGAGCCCTGGGTTCAATCCTGGCCCGGCTGTGCTGTCTGCCTGTGTGCTCTCTTCATGTTTGCATAGGTTTCCTCTTGAAACAGATGTCCTTTTAATCACAATACCATTATGGTTGTATATGAGCAAATGTTATTCTTTCCTCAGATGGAGGGTCTGTAGTGGTGGCCATAATGCTAAACAGTGAATGTTGCATTTTCAGAAAAAATAGTTCTATGATGTAAAGTTTTAGAAACTGGTGCCCTGCAACTATTTCATTTTCTCAAGTATAACCTGCTTCTCTACAGAGGAAGTACAAAGTGGAGACAGAGATTGAGAACTGGATCCAGAAATATGATGTGGACATGGGTGAAAAGCAGGTAGAGAAAAGTTTTCTTTCCCTTCATCCATAGTCATGCACATGATTATGGCGAGAACTGCTCATTCCCAGATATCAATAGAATAGAAAATATATCTGAATTAGAATTCAATCACTCACACAAATATCTCACACAAACTCCCAGCCCCGAGCCACACAGCAGCCTTCCGAACAAGGGTGAATTATTCTAGAATAAGGCTGGCTTTCTGTCATGGGACAGGTCGGTGCTATTGGCTGTTCTAAGACGACAGAAAGGGACTGTAAAGGGTTTTGGGGCATTGTTGAAACATTTCACCTGAAAATCCAGAGATTGTGAGTCCTAGTTTTGGCATGACTTCACTGTCCCCTTGTGTTCCTCTAAATTGGGATACGTCTGGTCTATATGTGGAAAAAAATATCTTTTTCAAGCTGTGCAGTACACTACCTTTTATAACAACAAATAAAAATAAGGAACACATAGTATGGAGTTATACTATACTTGTTCCTTTACAGTGAACGCACGCCGACAAAGCTCCACACCGGAATTAAAATAATAATTGTGTTCGTCTGTAACATTTTGTTTTCTCAGGGACAAAGTTAGTACTGTAATTCTGTTAAGTGAGAGGCTATCACTAGGAGAAAATGCAAGAATCAGTATCAGTTTAACTGTGGTTTTCATGAGAGTAATAAACACTCGTTCCTGTTTACGCTGGGTTTAGCTGTAATGTCCAAATTTCTTGGGGCTCTCTGTGAATTTGGAAACATTCCTTTCACAATGAACAAAGCGGTGTCTGTGTCGCGCGTAGCCGGAGAGGGACGAGGCAGCGTGGGGCCGCGAGGTACTGTGAGCTTGTCAGTGGTGGCTTTGCCGTTTGTCAGACAGAGCTGGAGGAGCTGTCTGCCGTCTATGCCGAGGAGAAGGAGGAGCTGAAGGAGCTGGAGGAGCACTTTGCCGTGCTGGAGCAGGAGTACAGCCAGATCATGGAGGAGCGCCGCCTGGCCCGGGAGAGGAGGGAGGAGGAGGAGCGGCAGCTGGCCCTCATGACCCGCGCCGCCATCCTCGTCCAGGCCTTCTGGAGGGGCTACAAGGTGCGCAAGCTGATGAAGAGCAAGAAGAAGGGCAAGAAGGGCAAAAAGGGCAAGAAGGGCAAAGGCAAGAAGGGCAAGAGCTGAACTCTCGCCTCCCTCCTAGAAAAACACCCTGCAGCTTCAGCTGTGTTAGGATGAGATATTATCACAGTGGGACAACAAATAAACTTCATTACAACACTTAATAAAAGGTTTATCACAGCTTGGAAAACCTAAGAAACATGAAGAAATTGCTCTTTATTGATTGTATTTTGCTTTAAACACAAAGATCATAACATTGCTAGGGTGTGTTTTAGTATTTTATTGTATAATCCTATGTCTTTAAAGCATACACGTTTACCCTTACATGCATGAGAGCTTTTGCTTTTTCAAGTATTTTTACTGGAGTTTACAACACTTAAGAAGGTCTGGCACATACATTCTTAATTGTTATTCACAATTTATTTGAGGTTTCACTGCAATCTGCATTTGTCCTGTCACTGTTTCCTGGAGGCCACTGTCATTTAAAATAAGAAACTATCCTAAATTTAATCTCGAATATAAAGCTGTATTAGTAGTTTATGAACCCATAAAATATATCATCAATCGTGGCAATACAGTATACATTATTTAGTAATATTTTAACAGATTTAATAGCTGGAATCTTCATCCAGTTTCTGAAATGAATCAAGGAATATTCTCTTCTATTTAGATATTAAATGTCTAATTCCCTGCTGAAAAGAGAAGAAAGAAAACACATTTCAGCTGTGGAGCCTTCTTCGGGGGTCACTGGGTGACAGCAGAAACGTTGTTTTCTTTCTTCTCTTTTCAGCATGGAATAAACCTATTACTTGTACCTATGCAGCCTACGCATCCTGACGCAGCTCCCCACCTGAAGTGTCTAATGTTTCATTCTGTGTTTTGGGATGTCAAAAGAGAGATACATTTTAGAAATAATGTGACACCCAATCACTTTATTCAGAGAAAAAATATCTATATATTTTATATAGCTATACTACAGGTTTGGTGATTGCATGAAACAAACAGCTATATTATATGGTAGATGTCCACAATGGTGCCTAAGTGATCCTCAGTCTGCAGGACATTTATGGAAACTCACATGACAGCACTGCAGTCCTATACCCCCCAGACATTGCTGTAGCCTATAAAAGTTTACAATTAGGCTGCTCTAATTATTCTGGGAAAACTGGCCTCAATAATGAAAGCTGCGTGAATGGGGGAATAAAAGGCAGTCCTTGCAAAGTGAAGTTAAGACACGCTGAGTAAGAGCAGGTTCAGAATCCACAGAGTAAACAACCTTCGCATTTATTTGTCCAGCTCTGTTCTTTTCTATGTGAAACGTGTTTCCATTGCTGTCCAAATAAATAAGACTCTCACACAGGAAGAGTCTCCAAGTAACAGAAATATTTACAGTAGCTAATTTAAAGCTGCTCAGTTAATTTAATGCTTTGGTTATGCTATGGGCATAAATTATGTCTTCTTGTTATTCTTTTGTTGAACCATTTAAATATGTAACTAATTTGCAACTCAAGAAAAGACCCCATCCTAAAATAGAATTCCTTGTTTATTTAAGAAATATAAGTTTTCCTAATATATTAAGACCCTTCTTGGTCCTTTTATACATAATGTTTATACATGGAAAATGCAAGATAATCTCTGGAATCATTTATATTATATTAATTATATTTTCATAGTAATAAAAAACGTTTTAAAATAAAATCTTCTCAAAGGAGCTGAATACAGGAGAGCTGTATTCTGGATCCCTTTACTCTTAATAAATTTACTGCTATAATAAACTTCTACAGTTGGTAAAAAGATCCCAGCACAGTGCAATCCCAAGGCCACAGCCCATCCACTGGGATAGGAAATGCTAGAGGAGAGAAACAAGGCACGTTAGAAAATATCTGGAACACATTTGAGAGCCCTTTCTAATTCCTTTTTAAGATTTATGAGAATTTAAAACAATGAAGCCCATGAGCTGCATGGTGGTATGGTTATTACTCCTGCCATTTCTAACTATTCTTGTGCATTTTTCACTTTTTTACAACCACCACATCCAGAATCGGAGTGTCATGTATTCTGTAGTCTGTGTTCTGTTAATCCTCTGGCAGGAATTATAGTGATGAGACCTCCTGCAGTGAGCTCTGAGGTCCTGGCACTTCACAGGACCACTGTATGACCAGTCCTTCATGCAGACTTGCTCACACCCCTTCAGACCCTTTGGTTTCCCTCACTGAGCTGCCATCCTGAATCGGAATCACGGAGCTTCAGCTGGATTGAGCTCTGGAGATCGGGATGGGCAGGCGACAGTGTCTGTTCTGTGTGTGATTAACCTTTCTTTTTCAATCTGGATGTGTGCTCTGGATCGCTGTCATGCTGGAATGTCCAGTTTTGGCCACACATGAGTACTCCTGGCAGAAGAGTCAGGTGTCAGGCCAGTATGTCCAGGTCTGTGTTGGAGTCCATTTCCCCTGTCTTGTCCAGGGCTCCAGGACTCCCAGAACATAAGAGTGGTCACGAGTGTTTTCTCAACACCAGCTTCGTCCAGTTTTACACCAGACATAACGCAGATGAGCCAAAAAGCTCAAGTTTAATTTCATCTGACCACAAGACATTTGTTTCAACTGTCATTCAAATTGTCTTTTTGTCATTCACTTCTTTCTTCCAGCCCAGCTGTGAATACTACATTCATGCTGGCAGCTTCACATGGTAGTTTTCGACACTATGTATCCTGAAGAAGCCAGTGTGTATTGGGTATCCAGGTGTTACTGTACCTTTGTCCCAAACCTCTTCACTGCCCATGGTGGCAAGATACACTTGTGTCCTCTTCCAGACAGGGTGACCACTATACCAGTAGCCTTACATGTCTAATACTGGACACCACAGAGGAAAGGGGTTAATGCAGCTGTTTGTGGATTCTGTTATAGCCATCCCCCAACATCTGGAGCCCCATGATCATCTGTCTGCAGTCTGTGAAGATCTCTCTGGCTTCAGCAATGATGATGCTGTGACTCACGAATGAATCTGGAGGGCACTGCAGTTTACAATGGCACTGTGAGAGAGCTTCCTCTCAATGCTTTAACACCATAAAGTGTGCAGAAGTGTGTGACCACGAAAGAATACAGTGAACGCTTGTTAAAATGGGTTTAAGTGTGAATCTATAAATTATTTTGCCATTTACAAAACATTAGTTGTCCACAATTCCATTGATCTATACACTCTACACATAATAAGCCCCTTTGTCAAATGTAAAGGGGAATAAGTCCCAACTGGTTTTTCAGTAGCTTAATACTTCCAGGGGGGTTTGGCCTTAATGGATGCTGTGGTCTTGGGCCTCCTATGAGGCAAACACAGACTGGCCAAATGGGCGCTTTTGCCTTTATCTGTAGCTCCCAGCCCAGCACATGCGGATTTTGTCTTTCTCATGAGCCCTACATCCTTTTGGGGTCTCCAATCTGTATCCCCCACCTCCTCTTCGCTCTCTGGCCTCCTCCAGAAGTCTGTCTTTCCCTGATAAGGTGCGAGCTCTGTGCTGCTCAGGGGAGGGTGGGCTGATGTCACGTGGGGAGCCTGTGCACAGCAGGTGCTGAAGGTGCTGGGGGTCCAGAGCAGGGGCTGTGACCTGCTGCCCTCTTTCTTCTCCGCCCAGGGAGGCTCCCATGTTGGCGTCTGAGCTGGAGGTCCAAAGAGAGACTCATCACAGTAGGAAGGCAGGTGGCTCTTCAGTCTGTAATAAGGAATACAGAAAGACAGGTTTTATTGAATGTAGTAATGGATCTTCATACAGCTACAATGCTTTCTTCATTCACTTTGAAACAACCAATTATACTTATATAATTATACTTCTTCTGCTGTTAATGGATTCTTGAATTGAACATGGCAAAACTCAGAGTATTCATCACGTCCTTGGTGACGGAGTTATCAATATCACTGCCTCTTTTACACTGACAGCTGGTGTGTGGGGAGTGTACTGGCGCACTATGGCTGCCGTCGCATCATCCAGGTGGGGCTGCACACTGGTGATGGAGGGGATCCTCATGACCTGTAAAGCGCTTTGAGATGAGTGTCCAGAGATGCGCTATAGAAGTGTAAGCAGTTATTATGACTATAATGAGCTAGAACTGGAGCTGCTGAGATTGGCCGCCAGCTCGTTCTTACACCACAGTTCTGTAGACAGACACTGACCTGTACCTGGTCCTCCTTCCGTGGGCTGCAGTGGAGCGGCCAGGCTTGGGCCGGGGAGCAGGATCGTCTGCCTTGACCGACCCAGTGGACGCAGGGACCCGCGGGCGAGAGGCCATGACCCCCTCCCTTCGGAACGACGTCCTGCCTGCCTCCCCCTGCCCCCTGCATCCGCGCCCGGCCCTGCTGGGCGCCCTGAAGGCCTGCACCCCTCTCACCGCCAGCTCCGCGGCCATCTGGGACACGAGTGGGCCGGACAGCACGTCCCGCGGCAGACAGACCGCGCCCGTGCTCGTGCACGCGGTCACCACACACCTATACCTTAAAGACACAGAGTGATCAGAAAAACAATATGGAAAACATTTCTGTTACTGGTAACAAGCTCGGAAAAACTTTGCTCCTTTAGCCGAACAGGCAGAGCTGCTATTAATTTACGACACGGCCTAGAAGTAAACCTTCATAGAGCCCTAGCCCTTTGAACACTTCACTCCTTTATGCTTAGACAGGGATCTGTGCAGGGAAGTTGTTTTTCAGAACGCATTCGCCAGAATTGGGAGCTCCCTTTTCATACACTCCTGTGGGAAATAGCGAGTTCAATATTGTAAGGAATTCGGGGTCTCGGGCTTGTGCCCTCGCCGCCTGGGCTCGAACCCGGGTGTCCGGCGTCGCTCAACAGGGGTCTTGCCTGCCGAGCGGCCAACATCCCAGTTATGCGCAGGGGCGTATTCGTTACAATATTATTAAGGCAGCTACCGCAATCGCACGCCGATTCGCCGGGACTGTTTTAATATAATTATTTTGTTTACACATTCGCTACCGAATATTTATGCACAAAAACGAGCTCCGTTGAATTCGCCCGGAGTACAAGACTGACAAGGCTCTTCGACCTCGTACCCCTGTGCAAACCGAAAGGCAAACGCAAGAACAGAAGATACGCTGTCGATCCAGGAGATCAGCGCGAAAGCCCTTCCTCACCCTCGCCTGCCCTGGGGTGGTCGTACCGAGAGGCTGAGCTGGATGTTTGGCAGCACCTATCACTTAGCAATGATTGCACGCACCGTATAACTTCATCCATGTGCGCCTCGATATTTGTGTTAGGAGCAATCATCCTTGAACATAAACCTAACGAGCGCCCCAGCTCAAGCATGCCCATATAATTCATGTAGTAGCGTGAAGTAAACCAGTGAACCGACTTTCATATGCAGTTTGATCTGGCTGCTAGTTTTACAGTCCTGCATTCACCACAAAACGTTTGGATTGTCTTAGAATTTGCACATTGGTTTTGAAGTTTTTTTAAACGTGTGCCACTTTTGTTTGTATTTCTAATCCTACCAATAGACATGTAAAGAAAGTTTAATTTACTTTGACGCCTTTGGTCATGCGATCTCTGCTTAGTTAAGTAAGGTAATCTCGCTGAAGCGACTAGTTACAAATATTTATTTAAATTCTTGTGTTTGCAGATACCCAATTTAGTCTCATAAACTAGCCATTCAACTCGCTTGAATTGCGTCGCTTTTCGATATATTACGGTCACTTCTGGGAAAACCAACAATATTGTTTTGCCAAAAGCTCAACCCTTATATCATAATAAAACGCACCAATTCACAGTTTTAAAACAAACAACGTCGAAATAACTTAATATTATTTAGTTTATTTGATAAAATTCTTACTCTTAATATAACTTAAACAAGCAACATTGACTCTCGAATTCTCCAACTCTTACTTTGTGGTACAACCCAACTGAACTTTACCATAGTTGCAAAGAGGGGACATGGAAATATTAGTATGTCATAAAATAAAGGATATTGTCCAAAAACTAAAATATTTAAAGAATAATTTAATTTCTAAACTTTAAATAAAACTACTAACTCTATTTAATTATTTAAGCTACATTTTCAAAATCCCTAGACTGGCATGTGGTTTGCACACCCCTCTGAGGTGCATTGGTCCGGCTGCAGCAGCGCGCTGCTCCGACACACGTGGGCCAACATGGCTGCCTCCTGCGAGAGACGAGCCGCTTGAGTTCCTGGCTGCTAGCCCTGAAAACGCTCTGGTTTATGCGTTAAAACGTTAGCTGTAGCCACGCCAGGGAGACAGGTCTTGGTACAGCTTGAGAGGCGCTGCAGCAATGGCGCAGAGGAAGAAGAGGTTCACCAGGAAGAAGCGCCATGCCGCGCACCGGGAGCCCGATGCGGACTCGGACGGAGGCGATTTCGAGCTCGCTGCCGAAGCCAGCTGCGATGACACGGCGACCAAAAAGGTTAAATTCCGCAAAAAATCCCAAGGGGACGCACAGTGAAAGGGGTACACGCTGTCTACGGCGGTTAGTGACATGGGGTGGTTTAGTGAACCAGCAGAATGTACTCTTAATCGCATACAATCTGGGTAGCAGTATTCTTGTTGAAACGAGGTATCTGGTCAGCGTACTACTGTACAATCAGCGCAACACTGAGTCAGAGTGGACAAATTGTACGTGAAACATTATCTGTTTAAAAACGTAAAACTTCCAATACACCGAAGTGACTGAAATATGCCTATGTGCACGATATGAAACTGATCCAATGCCAGTACTGTAATGTGTACAACCGTCAGATACCTTGTCACCACCTTTGTGTTTGCCCTGTTCTCTCTCAGGTGGGTAAGAAACTACCACGCTTCCCAGCTCCTTCTGACTGCCTGTCGGACGTGGAGCCCGACACGAGGGAGCTTGTTCGGGCTCAGAACAAGAAGAAAAAGAAATCTGGAGGCTTCCAGTCGATGGGTAAGCGACCAGAGCAGCTCTTTAATCATTACACTGCGAACTCGGGGTGGAGCTGTGGTCAGGGTTCTGGACGGGTAACTGGGAAGTTGTGGGTTCCCAGGTGAGACACTGCTGTTGTGCTCTTGAGCAAGGTGCTTCACTCGGATTGGTTTAGTAAAGACCCACGGGTACAAATGTGTGCAGATATAAGCTGCTTGGATGTGACTGTCAGCCAGATAATATAATGGAGCTCTGGAAGGTTGTGTTCAGACAGTGCTGGATGTAATATTCTGGATGTCTTCGTGGGATGTTGCACTCTTTAAGGTTTATTGTGACTAAAAGTACAGGACAGGAGGATATTGAACTCCACGATGTTTTTTGAATTCTGGCTGAGATGTGTACAGTGCAGTTACAGCATCAGGATTACCTGATCCTAATCGGACATGTCTGGTCCTGATGACTGAACCTCGTGCGTGGAGAGCCCCAGTCCCACAGACCTGATTTCATACAGTTACGAACAACTGATTTCCATACTTGAATAAATTAAAATTGCTAAAGGCTTGGATAAATCACAACATTAAGGACACTTGACTCTTTTGGGACCCTTGTTGTGTATGATATGGTCTGATAGTCATGATTATTCTTGGACAAAGGAGTCATGGGTGGTTAATGAAAAATGTAGTGGCTTACTTAATCAGGTATTTGTAATGATCAGCTTTAAATTGCAAACTTCAGATTCAGTTCAGTGTTCATATAAGTATCTCGGTAAGAAAACTGGATGACACTGATGTAACAGGACATATCATAGTTTTGGTTTTAGACTGGTTTATTTTTGTGCTTGTATTTTCTAGGCCTGAGCTACCCCGTGTTTAAGGGGGTGATGAAGAAAGGCTACAAGGTTCCCACCCCCATCCAGAGAAAAGTAAGTGATCTGCAGTGCTATCTGGTTTCTGTCCATCTGGACACTGCGTGTCTTGAACCTCTGTATCAGTGCTTGCTTTAGGTTAGTGTTTTTAACAGTCACATTTCATTAAACTTTACTGATTTTACCCAGAAAAAGGGTACTAAACAGGGTCAGGAAAAGGGAGTAACTCTTAATTAACTGTCATCCTTAGAATTTAACTGAATACATTGTCTCAAAACATCTTAACTGATTGAAAGGCAGGAAGCTTAAATAAACTGAGTGTAGTACTTCTTTGGGGAGCTGGTAGCATTATGCATGTATTCCGCAATGTTATGATCATAAAATGTAACTGATTAGTGGTGTCAAAAAAGTGTCATTTGAAAAACATGGCATCGTTTTCTTTCCTGCTTGCCCTCTCCCTAGACAATTCCACTGATTCTCGAAGGCAGGGATGTGGTTGCCATGGCGAGGACGGGCAGTGGCAAGACTGCGGCCTTCCTCATCCCCCTGTTTGAGCGGCTGAAGGCTCCCCAGGCCCAGACCGGCGCCCGCGCCCTCATCCTGTCGCCCACCCGGGAGCTGGCGCTGCAGACGCTGAAGTTCACCAAGGAGGTAGGACAGCTGTCCTCTCCCAGCACGGTGGCCTGGGCGCCCAGGCGTGTCAGTCAGTCAGAGATCCGCAGAGAACAACCACATCATCTGCCCTGCAACCCCCTTCTCGGCGAATCTGCTGTCGGCCACGTTTGTATTGCTCTGTCATGTTGTCAAGTGGCTGTAACGCAATTTGAGATGTTGCTTATCATGTAAAAGGCTCTCTAAAGACTGATGGGTGAGATAGAACATTTTTCTGTGTCACAACATGGTAACTTTGTTGATCACACTCTTAAAAGTAGCAACCGTTTTACAGCTAAAAAAAACATACAGGTGAGGAAGAGAAAACGTTAAGGTCAAGATCAGCTTGATGGATCCAGGGACACGAGATCACATGCATGTATATAGCAAGTGTTAACTACAGTGTAAATGCCTTAAAAGGAGTGAGAAGGCTAGTTTGTGGCAGGTGTCTACTCTGAAGAAATGCACAAACCCTCTTTATACAGAGTTGTAGCAAGTTGAAAATGTTAATGTAAAGATCAGATGACTGGTGTAATTTTGTGTTGTCGTCTTTCAGCTTGGGAAGTTCACTGGCCTTAAAACTGCGTTGATCCTTGGAGGAGACAGGTGAGTGTGAGCCTTCTGCAGTGGCTTGGCCTTGTGTTTGCTCATGCTATGAAGAGCAGTGAGCAAATTAATAATTGTAATATTGTGGTTCACAAAGTGAAGAATCTGTAAAACGCACAGAAATGATTGCGTATTAAAATGACAGTTGCAGTGTGTGTTCTGAATGGAATATTACCCGTCGACATGATAATGAAAGAGCTGTGTCTGTTTCAGAATGGATGATCAGTTTGCGGCCCTACACGAGAACCCAGATATGTAAGTTGTGTATCAGATCTTTAAAGCAGAGACCCTCCTGTTCCATATTGATCATCTCACAGTTCCATCCTCACAGCTTTCTTTTTGTAAGCATGTTGCAATGTACAGCTCTGGCATTTGGAGCCTTGTGGTTCACGTTCAGTGACCTTGTACAACGGCTGATTTTGTCACTAATGCTTTTGAAGGAGTTCCTACTTAACAAACCTTGAACATGGCTGTTTGGAGTTCAAATGACAATAGCTTCCTATAGCAGTAGTTGTGCAGTTTGCTTTTTTTCTCATTGTATTGCTTAAAAAAACAAACATTAGCCCCAGACTGGCATTATGTAAGGCATTGGCATTTTTTATCTTGTATATAAAGCAAACATGTTTAAGTGTGTCCCTAGCTGAGGCGAATTCAGACGTGTGTTGTCACTCTAGCACTGGTCTACAGCACAGGTTTGCTCAAGGAGCACGTGTCAGAACTGACTCTCTGGCAGCAGTCACCGAGCTCCGGCCCCTGTCTGTTTCCTCAGCATCATCGGCACGCCAGGACGCCTGATGCACGTGGCTGTGGAGATGAACCTCAAGCTCCGGGGTGTGGAGTACGTGGTGTTCGACGAGGCCGACAGGTGAGCAGTGTGGCCGGGTGCAGCCGTTGCCTTTGAGCTGCTTGATCTCTTGTTTCAGAGCTGTGGTCAGTGGGACGCATCTGGTTTTACACTGATGCCTCTACTGCTCATCTTGTCTCTCATTGTGGAGGCAGGGCTCATGCTGGGTAAACTATACGAGTATGTACCCAGTTTTATTTTGGGGTTTCTGTGTGCCCTTGTTTGGGTTTATTGGAATATATAGTTGGTGTGTGGATCCTGACTTAGTCTTTTCTCTGCGTAAGCGGTTTGACAGTGCGTGTCCTGCAGACAGTCCTTTTAAAGGTGGGCCCTGCCTCTGTCTCTCCAGGCTGTTTGAGATGGGCTTTGCTGAGCAGCTGCAGGAGATTATCCGCCGGCTCCCAGAGGCCCGGCAGACGCTGCTCTTCTCTGCCACGCTGCCCAAGCTGCTGGTGGAGTTCGCCCGGGCCGGTAAGAAATCGACCGCCCCCCGTCCTTCAGGGTTGGGTCTATCTGCCCGCCTCTTTCTCCCCAGTAAGGGCCTGTCTTGCTCTTCGCGTTGACCCACGTTTCAAAATCCCGAGCTGTCGTTGTGCCGTCCTAGGCAACAAGCAGAACTTCAGGAACGTTTCTTCCCTTCGTGGAATTGCAGCATCCTGAGTTTGAAGAGGGATCCTGCTGCTTCACAGCTGGACTCCTGAGTGTTGTGCAGGAATAGTTTTCTTAACCCATTTCTTTTCACAATAAAAATTCTTTGAAAAAGTATGTTGAAAAACCTAATTATTGAAGATCATCTGAACAGCCTTGATGATTCGGACTAGCTGCCAACAGACTCATTGAAGCTTCTTAATTCAGTCTGGGAGATTGTTTACAGGAGCAGACGATCAAGAAGATCTGATTTGAATGGGGATAAAAGATTCAAATGAAAAAGATGGCTGAAACTCTGTTTTGTTTTCTTCTGCAAGACATGTTTAACCTTTTTTTCTGACATGTTTTCCAGGGCTAACAGAACCAGTGCTGATCCGCCTGGACGTGGACACCAAGCTGAGTGATCAGCTGAAGGTAAGGGTGGAGCTCTGTGGACTGGAGTACAGCACTGACAAGCCTCTTGTCACGTCCCGGACTCGCGTTACAACTGGCCAGTCGTTGTAATAATTTTCCTGCGGAACTGAGAGTCACGCCGATAAAGATCAGAATTACTTGAAGGTCTGTGGTTTATCACATTGTGCACTGTAGAGTTACTGATGCATGTTGATTCGGATGAAGATTTTAACGCATAAATGAACAACACATTGACAGCAGCTTTATTTGGTAAGTACCCTTTCTCGTCAGTTAGGGCCTGAATAGTGCCCTATCCTAAACAGTCACCTGTGGTGTTTTAGACTGCATCCAGCCTGAGTTAGGATGTCATAACGTTTGATAGCTGGGTAATCAGAGCAGCCTTCTGGGCGATTGCAGTGGGCTGCGCCCTGTTTGCTGAGCATTGGTCCGGTGACAGTGAAGATGTGTCCTGTCCTGTACGTTCACGATGAATACCATAGGCCAGAGAGAGGCAGCCCAGCTCCTCTAACTGAGCTTCCTCGACTCTCTCCCCAGCTGGCCTTCTTCCAGCTGCGGCAGGACGACAAGCCGGCGCTGCTGCTGCACCTGCTGAGGAGCGTGGTGAAGCCCCAGGAGCAGACTGTGGTCTTCGCGGCCACCAAGCACCACGTGGAGTATTTGAAGGAGGTGAGCTGTGACCAAGGGCCATGCGGCCGCAAGCAGTCTCACTCTGTGCGTCGTAGGACAGCATTTTCATTGGTGGGCCAGTGGGAGCAGTGAGTCCGGAGAGGACCAGGGTTTGTTGTTGAGTGGAAAAGAAAGGTGTGAGTTTTCAGAAAACGATCCCCTGTAATGAAAGGAACTTGAATTCCTTATCTCATATCTTTATTACCCTGCAGTGTGCAATTAAAGGTAATCCTTAAATATACTAGAATTAAGACTTGATCAAATAGTAAATGTAATTAAGATGTTCTGTTTCTCAGGTTTTATCGTCGGAGGGGGTGGACTGCTCCTACATCTACAGTGCCCTGGACCAGACTGCGCGCAAGATCAACATCGGCCGTTTCGTCCACAGGAAGTGCATGGTGATGCTGGTGACTGACGTGGCGGCTCGTGGTATCGATATCCCCCTGCTGGACAATGTCATCAACTACAACTTTCCCTCCAAGGCCAAGCTCTTCCTGCACAGAGTTGGTACGCGTGCACTGTGCTGACTGGGCGGGGGAGACAGTGTGGCCTCTTTGATCACAGAGTCTGCCAGCAATGTCCATCTCTCAGTGGGGTCTTAAACTGCACTGATGTACTTAGCTGCTCACACTGCTATTCAGTGATGCAGGTGATTGACGTGTCTTAGACTGAAATCTGTACTCTTGTCTTATTTTGTTTGCATATTCTTTGTTTTGCAAATGTACAGCATTCTGTGCTTGAAGCTCCAGTTTTGAATGATTTACAGAAATGTAAATATCTGTCTTCAGAGCATCGCAGTGGACAGTGGATTTGATGGGAGTCCCTGTACTAAGTCAGTGCCAGTCCAGAATTACAATATATAGCTGGACACCTTTGCTAAAAACTCTAGAAGAAATGGTGTAACAAAGCTGTTGTGTCTTCGTGTTTCTGTGGCTGCGTATCGCAGGTCGTGTGGCTCGTGCTGGCAGGACTGGAACGGCGTACAGCCTGGTCTGCCCTGACGAGGTGCCCTTCATGTTTGATCTCCATCTCTTCCTGGGCCGCCCCCTTCAGTTTGCCACAGCTGGCCTGCCCCAAGGTACGCTGCCTCTCCTCTGCACACATCCTGGTTAAATCCAAAAGGAGCACAGTAAGACTGCACTGCCTCATCCGTCTCAGGTTTGAAAACGAGCGGCATCTTATATTGCCAGTAGCCAGTACTAGGTATTTAAAGCTTGTTATGACATTGCTATAGACATTTGGAGCTACTGGTTGCTTAACTTATACATTTAAATCAACAAGATCAAGGGTCCATCCTTACGGTTAACTTGAAGAATTTTTAAGATGTTAGATATGTTAGGTGCATTTGTTTGCAATGTATTAAAAGCTTTGTTGTTTAGCATTAAGTGATTTGGACTTCTAAATAGAAAGTCTCTATACTTTTGACATCCCCATCTCAAAAGTCTTTTTCCTTGCCATGGTAGACAGTTCCCTGCCTTTGAGACAGAGCTGTGTGTCACTCTTTCTGCCCGTTTCCAGATGTAGATGGGGTGTTTGGCCGTGTGCCCCAAAGTGTGTTGGATGACGAGGAAGCTCTGCTGATCGCTGCGCATCAGAACTCGCAGGACCTCCAGAACCTGCGCCGCGTGGCGGAGAACGCATACAAACAGTACCTGCGGTCCCGGCCCAGCCCCTCGGCGGAGTCCATCAAGAGGGCCAAGGGTGTGGATTTGTCCAGCCTGGCTGTCCATCCGCTGCTGGGTCAGTTCTGCCTTTCGCTCCTCTCTGTGTCTACTGCCGCTGCTCTGTCCTTCCTTTCCCTGCTGTCTGCCCTCCCTCACTTGTCTCTCTCTTCCTCTTCCCTCTCTCTCCTAACGTATGCCCTTGTTTCCCCCTTTCCTTCCCTCCTGCTGGTTGCCCTCTCCCTGCAGTGTGTAACATGCTCTCTGTGCGCTTCCACACGTAGGATCTGCACTGGGGGGCGAGGAGCTGGACAGATTGAAGATGGTGGACGGCGTCAAAAACTACAAATCGAAGGCTGTAAGCTCCTCAGCCGCCTGATTCTCTGGTTCACACTTTGCTCTTACACAGTGGTCCTTCGCTGTATTTTGCCACTTATTTCTGTAGCTCTTCAGCGCATTACAGGGCATCCCTGATATACGTTTCCCCACTCTAACTTTGTCAAGTTATCATGAACATAACGTACAAATTTCCGTTTGTCGACTAAGTGAATTTTCTTTTAGATGAGGTTTTGTTGCGTAGCTGGAGGTGCACCTAAGAGATGACGAGTTTGATCACATTTTTCTTTGCCTAGAGCAGATCAGGTACTGTCAAGAACATGAGAAGGACAATCGGGCACAATCTGTCCACTTTTAAAGGCAAGGTCTTATAAGTGAGCGTTTGGTTAAGTTTATTTCAAATATCCCTTAAAATGCTTAAAATTGTAATTGTAATCTTAAAAATGATTGGTCAATCAACATAAGACATGTACATGTACTGTGTTTGTATACTTACCAGTGAAACAAACTTACAGTGGTCCTACTTATTCCTACTCTTTTGTGGGCAAATTCCTACTCTCTTGTACGTCATCTCGCCAAAAGCTGTGGCGAATGACTTTGTTGGTTTCGACAAGACCATAATTCCAAAGGAGTTGGATGCTATCCATCTGTGTTTATTCCTTTTTATGGCTTATAGGTACATTTAAATGTTTATACTTTTTGTTTAGCTAGAAGAAAAACACTCAGTCCCGACTTTATTCCACTAACTCTCATGGGGGAAAAACCTCCCGCTTTAAAGTGCAGGGGCAACGTTTCTGCTCCTACGGGCGCAAACCCTCCATTTTCACCCTGTTCTGGAGGGGAAGAATGTCTCCCGACGCCTCGTGTCGCCCCACACCGCGGCCTTCTGGTCCTGATCCCCCATGTGTAACGGGGGCCGCCGGTGCCTCCGGCTTGAGCGCGCACCACAGCTGGCTGGGCGCTCTTCCAGCTGTTGGGCAGCTGTGCTGCCAGGGCTTTGGGCTAGGCCCCAGCTGGGCCCTGGGGCGCCGCTCGGGAGCTCACGGGGACACCGCTGTCTTCCAGACCATCTTCGAGATCAACTCGAGCAGCAGGACGGCGGCCAGCGAGGTGATGCGGGCGAAGCGGCGCCGCGACGCGGGGCAGGTGGGCAGCTTCCTGCGGGCGCGAGAGGACAAGGCGGCCGAGGGCCCGGCGAGCCAGCCTGCCGCCGGCGCCGCCCTGCAGGCCGAGAGCGACGAAGAGCACATCCAGGTACGGCTCCTCGGCGCCCCCTGCGGGCCAGAGCTGTTTTAGTTAGAAAAGCTTTGTGACAACGTACACCTTCGTCTGGGGTTTTATCTTAACGTTTATCGTGTCAGATTATCAGAGATTTCCGTTACCAAGTCCCATAGAGTTTATTACTCATTTTTACCTATGGAGGATTGTCTTGCCAGAGACGTTACCTGTCTGCTACCTTGGGGACCAGGGTTCTGCCCATCCAGTTCTCCTGGATACGAGGAGCACCTGGGCTCACTCCGGGTGCAGGAGATCTCTTGAACAAGCCCACACGGGACGCGCACAGACGTCAGAGATGATTTATGCGCGAGTCTCAGCAGTCTGACCTGAGCTCCTCACTCCCGTTTCCTCCTCTTCCTCACGTTGTCGGAAGATGAATGCTCTAATAGGCGGGTGTGTCTGCTGGTCCTCTTGCTGGGCACAGGGATTAGAACCAGTGGTGCTGCTGGTTAGGTGGGTGTGGAACAGTACAAAGGAGGTTCCAGATTCTGGGTGAAAGAAGAGAAAGGTGCTCAAGTGTTGTGTTGGGTGTCTGCAGGGAGTGTTTTCTGCAGTGCTGGGTGGGAAGAGGAAGATGACACAGGGAGAGGCAGAGGCTCCGAAGAAGAAGAAGAAGAGGGAGACCTTCTGTGACCAGGAGTTTTACATCCCCTATCGACCCAAGGACTTCGACTCTGAGAGAGGGTAGGACCAGATTCAGGTCACGGCCTTTTTTCTTGCTCTTGAAGTGGTCGGAGTGTCCATTTCGGCTTGTTTCCATTCCTAATCGGTCACTTTTTTTTTTGTTTAATGTAGAGGGGCACTGAAAATAAAATGATATGGTTTACTCGCCTGGGTACTTGCAGAGTGTGTTGTTTCAGACACTCAGTCAACTTGCCTGTTGCTAATTGGGGCCAAGCCTTTGAAAGTGAGAATAAATGTCCCAAATTAAGACATGCTATAAACCAAAAATTCAGAACGAGAAGTATCAGTAAATTAAGTACATGATATACAGTGCAGTGCAGTAAATTGTAGTGATGTTAATCCAATTTTCAGTCTTGTGTTGCTTGACTTTGAGTGAATAGTGAAAGTTGCATAAAGAAGATGCATAAGATACTTGCAATGATCTTTCATTTAACAGACGTCCTCTGGCTTTAAAGAAATGGTCAGAAGTCTGAAACTGAGCAGTGCAGAGTGTGAGTCTCTCCTGCCCGTTGCTGTGTTCACAGGCTCAGTCTTGTTGGGGAAGGCAGCACTTTTGAGCAGCAGGCGTCTGGGGCTGTGTTGGACCTCATGGGTGACGAGGGTGACAAGATGAGCCAACACAAGAATATGCTGAAGTGGTAAGAATACTGAGGGCCTTCCTGAAGATTGTGTCCATCACTGCTAGGGCCGTTCATTTTCTGTCTTGATTTTGGAGTAATTAGCTGTCATTGTAATCTTTGTCACCAATTTTAATGTCAATGATTCATAGCCCTCTGAGATTTTGACTTGATTTAAGTATGATTTTTGAACATTCAGCTAATGATCATTGTAAGCTAAACACATCTAAATTTATGTGGGAAGGATATTTGTCACATGGTTGCTGATTTATTTTCAACAGCAACTTTAAACATGATGGCCTAGCCTGTGAAACTGCAGGATTGACCTACAAGTTAAACCACTTGTGAACTCTGCCTGAGGCCTTGATGAGGGAGAACACTCAGTGGCTTGTGGTTCTGAATCCAGACATCACTGGTCCAACTGTGTCGTGTTGGTAGCTCTCGGTGTCTCTCTCCAGGGACAGGAAGAAGAAACGCTTTGTGCGGGAGACAGGAAAAGAAGACCAAAAGAAGAAAGTTCGGACAGAGAGTGGCCAGCTGATCAGCAGCTCTTACAAGAAAAACCTGTATCCTTCCTCAGTCTGGCTGGGAGAGAGCCCCCTGTGCCTCTGTCCCAGTTTCCCCTCTGTCTGTAACCCTGTGTATGTTCTGTCTGCACTGAGACTGAGCTGCATAGTTCCTTTCCATCCGTGACCACACGGGTCTCGTCCAGCCCCTTTCAGCTCCTAGTAGCTAATTGATGTGAGAACCTCATCCTGGCTTTTCTTGAAAGCAGGGTATTGGCTTAGACAGCACGGCTGGATAGCTGGTTCCAGACGCTCTCAGCACTTTGTGTAAAAAGAAATGTTTACTGTTCTCAGGCTGCTTGTCGCTGCTACTTGGTCTTGTCTTTCAAGTACAGATCATAGTAGGGATTTTTATCCAC